ATGGCATGATCGCCAAAGTCAAAAGGTGCAATCTTGGGGGGTACTTGATTTGGAAGGGTTGGTTCAGGTAATGGGCAACAAAATAAGAAGAAGATAAAAACAGAAAATAATGCAGTTGACAGTAGACAGGCTTTGTGTACCATTCACCACCAGCTCGGCGGTGTAGTTAACCGAAGTGGCTCTGTTAACGGCCACGCAGGTGTAGTTGCCCGCGTGATGATCGCGCACGAAGTCAATTGAGAGTGCGCTGATTTTCTTGCCCAATTTCACCATCGACACATCGTAGACATTCTCACTGATTTCGCGTCCATTGAAGAGCCAAGCGAAACTAACAGGAAAGTCGCCCGAAGTGACCAGACACTACACGCTCGCCGACTCGCCAAAGTTTGAGGGATCCTCCCCAAAGTCAAATTGGGCAATTTTGGGTGCAACTTAAGGTGGGGGCAGGATTAGATAAATTAAACCAAAATAATTATTCTACATGTTTAAGTAACGCAGATTATTAACCGTTCACTTTTAGTTCGGCCGTGTGGTTAACACGACCCGCTCGATTCTCGGCTATGCAGGAATAGTTGCCCGCATGCTTGGCCGAGACCGCCTCGATGGTCAGCTCGTTGATGCGTTTGCCTCGCTTGGTTGTCAGTATTTCTAGATAATCCTCAAAGGGCTTGCCATTCAGCGTCCAGGTAATGTTTACGGGTAAATCACCGCCTGATATGGTACACTGCACATTGACAAATTCCCCATAGCTCATGGATTCATCCCCAAAGGAGAACGGGCTTATGCGGGGTACAGCTATATAGAAGTTTCTCATATAACGTATCATTTGCAATAAGATCAAAAGAGATTGCATTTTGTAAGCTCGATTCTCTAATACATACGACACATATAACAACAACACACAACACTGCAGAATAGAGTATGTAAGTAGAAGGACATGGGAGGATGGCAATTAGAACAACTACAGTTTGATTCCTCGGTGCACCGAAGCGAATATACCCTTGCAGTTGCAATACTCCGACACTGCAAGGGTATAGGAAGAGTCTCCAAATAGGTGTTTTTATACTCGTAGGTCTATGAACTTTGTGGCCACGCACCGTTGACAATGAGCTCAGCCGAATGCTCAGCACGACCCGCTGAATTGCTGGCAATGCACGTATAATTGCCCGCGTGCTTCGCCTCAATGGCATCGATCATTAGGTTGTGTATGCGCTGGCCACGTTTTTCTGTGAATATCTCCAGTTCCGGCAGTAGCGGATGGCGATTCAATGTCCAGATGACCGAAACGGGCAAATCGCCGCCCGAGATGGTGCAATGCACCGACACAGGCTCACCGAAATTCATGGGCTCCGTGCCAAAGGAGAAGGGTGTTATCTTGGGAGGCACTGGACATGTGTGGGAATTCAACAAAATTAAACCAAAAACATAAATGTAAATCAAGCAAATCAATTAAGATGGAAAACAGTTAAATAGATGTCGGCTGACAAACCATTCACAATCAGACGCGCCGAGTGGGCTGTCAAGCCTGCCTTGTTCTGGGCATGACAGGAGTAGAGGCCGGCGTGGTGAGCGGCCACCGACTCGATGGACAGAACATTGATTCTTTTGCCAATGCGAGAGAAAGAAATGTCATGGTAGCTATCAATAGTGGCATTGTTTAGCAGCCAGGTGACATTAATGGGTAGATCCCCGCCTAGAATGGTGCACTGCACTGAGGCGGGCTCCCCGTAGTTCAGTGGCTCCTCGCCAAAGTCGAAGGGTGCGATCTTGGGCGACACTTAAGAGCAGTTGGAGTCATTGTTAGCAAAGGTGAGATAGACAGGTTAAGAAGTATGTATGTAGATAGATGTAAGTATTTCCATTACGCTGGATTAGATGGATTAGTATCAATTCAAACAGGGTCTGTTAGGCAACGAAGTTAGCTCGTTTAACGTAACCACAACCAACTCCCGAAGGTGACACTAGACTACCCTATTAATCGAATCGTATCGAAGCGAAGAATACCATTGACAGTCAGGTTGACACCGTATCTGGTCGTGCCCGCTGCATTGCTGGCAATGCATGTGTAGGTGCCCGTATGGGCTGGACTTGCGCTCTGGATGGACAACATGCTGGTCTTGCTGCTGATGCGGTTGGTGCGCATTTGCGGCTGGAGCATATCGCCGCTGGCATCGCTGTCGCTGGCACTGCGCTCAAAGCTCCAGTGCACCTTTATGGGACGATCTCCTTTTTGAATTTGGCAAAACAAGTCAATGGAGTCGCCCGTATTGATCACATCTTCGTATGCAAATGGCACTATCTGCGGCAGCACTGGTTTCAATGTATGAGAGAGTGTAGAGTGTTAGGCGGGAGTTACGAACCAAAACGAATGTACAAATAAAAGATCCTGAAATGCTATATAAATGGTAGATAGACCATTGACAAACAACTCCGCGGCATAGCTGCTGTTCCCTGCTGAGTTGCTCGCCACGCAGCTGTAGTTGCCCGAGTGCAGCGCCTTGACGGTCTCCACGGTCAGAAGGCTAATTCGTTCGCCTATTTTGCTGGCCATCACGCCCAGATGTCGGAACAGAGGCAAGTCGTTGTGGGTCCAGCGTATTCTCAAGGGCAGATCGCCCTTGGCCACATGACAGGTCAACTGCACGCTGTCGCCCTCATTGGCGTCGGCGTCAAAGCTAAACGGATGTATGCTGGGAAGCACTGCCAGAGGAGTTGGGTCAGGATTGGGAGTGGACACGGCAAACCAAACGAAATTACAAAGAAATCAAGAAGAGTAATCATAATACTTATTGTCTACTGGAATATGCTAAGGGTCACCGTTGACTTTCAGCTCGGCACTGTAGCTGCTTTCGCCAGCTCGATTGCGAGCTCGACAGGTGTAGATGCCCCGATGCTCGGCAGCTATATAGTCAATATTAAGGGTGCTCGATTTGCTGGACATGCGACCAATAACCACGTCCCAGTCGCCACTAGTAAGCGCCTGATTGTTCAGCGCCCAGCTGATCTCAATGGGCAGATCCCCCTTGATGACGGTGCATTGTATGCCCATGGTCTCGCCAGAGTTGGATGCCTCATCGCCAAAGTCGAAGGGTCTAATTTGCGGGGGTACTGTGGGATGTTTGCGGTTGGAGTTTGAAAATCAAAGTGTCAAGGTATAAATGAAAAATAAACTACGAATCAGAACGTTAAACATAGATCGAACCATTAACAACTAGTTCGGCTGTTTGCTCAGCGCTGCCCGCCGCATTGCTGGCAATGCATTTAAAAAGCCCGCGATGATGACCATTGATGGCGTCGATGCTCAATGAACTCAGTTTCGGTGACATTTTTATAATTCGTATGCCCACATTCTCGTTCGTTATGGGCTGTCCATTCAGGGTCCAGTGCAGCTGCAGCGGTGTATCCCCCTTGAACACCATGCACTGGACGGCGGTGCTGTCCCCGTAGTTGGAGGGCTCATCACCAAACACAAAGGGCATTACTTGTGGCGGTACTGGGCGAAATAAAGAAAAGCTCGAAACTAGACAAAACAGCTCGATAACTACACAAAACCCAACAACACTTCTTGGCTATTCAGCGGTCTTAAATGCTTTTTAGAATGCTTCAAGTAAATTCATTGCTCCAACATGAAACTCCGAACTCAGCAGTTACAATTTAGTGCTAGCTACTTAAGCATAGTTCAGTATGTTGACTAATTTAGTATCTTATCTGGGCAAACAAACCATTGACTTGCAATTCAGCAACAGATTCGCTGCTTCCAGCCTCATTGCTGGCCGTACACCTGTAAACACCGCGATGGAACGCATTTAGCGAATCGATATTCAGCATGCTCGTTCGCTGATTCCAGCGCACCAAGCTAAAGCCGTTCTCGCCATTAATGATGGGCGCTGAGTTTAGGGACCAGTGTATATCCAAGGGTGAGTCTCCCTTGGGAACCACGCAAGTGGCGCTGGCGATGTCGCCCACGTCGGCTGCCGCCTCGCCAAAACTAAAGGGCAGCACTTGCGGTGGCACTTGAAGGGGTTATTTGTGGGGTTAGTTCAGACAAATCAAACAAATCGAACAACATAAAATAATCAAAATGTATATGAGCTAGGTGCATTATGATCCTAATAAGTCCGACGACTTTCGCACAAACCATTCACATGTAATTCAGCGCTATATTCGGCGCTGCCCGCCTTGTTTGTGGCTATGCATTTGTACAGTCCGCGATGTCGAGCCTCCAGTGCATCAATGCTCAGCGAGCTAGTGCGTGGGTTCAGACGCGACAAGGAGAAGCCATGCTCGCCCGTTATAATGGGAGCAGAGTTCAGGGTCCAGCGCATTTCCATGGGCAAATCGCCCTTCGGCACCATACAAAATATACCAGCTATTTCGCCCGTGTTGGCGGGCTCGATGCCAAAGTCAAATGGTTGTATTTGTGGAGGCACTTTTTTGATGGGGGTCGGGACAACAAAAGAGGTGAGTATCAAATAAAAACAGCCAATAACAAACTATAACTTAAATCAAATTCTATCAACATGACGAACCATTCACTTCTAGTATGGCAACATATTCAGCATAGCCAGCCGAATTGTTGGCTATGCACTTATAACTTCCCCGATGGGCGGCCTCCAAGGAGTCTACGTTCAGCGAACTGGTACGCTTGTTGAGTCGCACTATGGTGAACCCGAGCTCACCATTTACTATCAGAGCCGAATTTAAGGTCCAGTATATATCCAGGGGCAAGTCGCCCTTCGGCACCACACAATTAACACTGGCCACCTCACCGCGATTAAGTGGCTCATCCCCAAAGGAAAATGAACTTATCTGTGGTGCAACTGAGTTAAAAAAAATATGTTTATGGTTTCTCCACTCTAGTTCGTCTAGGTTAACCCTATTCAGCACACACGGTTTAGCTCAGTACCACCGAATAAACCAGAATATTGTTAATAAGTAGGAAAGCAAAAGAAGCAGGTGGCTGGGAGAGAAGAATACTTTGAAGCTATTGAACGACCCACCATTAACTTGCAAATCAGCGGCATATATAGCACGACCCGCCTGATTCTGGGCGATGCAGCTGTAAGCCCCACGATGCTTGGCCTCGAGGGTATCCACACTGAGATAACTGGTACGACTGTTGAGCTGCATGACCGTAAAGCCATCCTGTCCCGATTCAATGGTCTCATTATTCAGACTCCAATATATTTCCAACGGCAAATCGCCCTTTAGCACGACACAATTAATGCTCAAAACATCACCCATGTTAAAGACCTCACTGCCAAAGCTAAAGGGCAGGACATGGGGTGGCACTGTGTGAATAATGTGTCAAATTATAAATGAAAAACTTAAAAGGGGTTAACTAATTTATAAAGCTAGCAGCAGGCATCAGTTATAAGATCACAATATTCTGCCGTATACCATTGACTTTCAGTTCGGATGTGGTATAGCTAGATCCTGCCATATTCTCGGCTATGCACTTGAATATGCCCCGATGGTACTGCTCAACGGCGGCTATATTCAGGACACTAGTTTTTGGTAATAGCTTCAGTATGGTAATGCCCTCTTCGCCGTTGATAATGGGTCGCGAGTTGAGTGTCCATTTGATGGTTATGGGCACATCGCCTTTTTGCACCATGCACTGAACGCCAGCATTTTCGCCAGTGTTTACGGGATCATCGCCGAACGAGAAGGGTGCAATTGATGGTGGCACTGACAAATAAATAATACCGGATCGGGTTGGGTGACAGAACTGAACATAAACTAAAGGATAAACTGGAGCTACTGCAAGCAGAACTAAAGCTTAACCATTGACTGCCAGCAATGCAGACTGTCTGGTTTCTCCGGCATTGTTAGTGGCAACACAGGAGTAGTTGCCCGCGTGGCGAGCTCGCACGGATTCAATGCTTAGGACGCTGATGCGCTGGCTGTTGCGGGTGACAACAACGCCATCGTTGGTGAAGACCCGCCCGCCGTTCTTGGTCCAAGCAATGTCTAGTGGCAGATCGCCCTTGTTGACTGTGCAGTAGGCTGAGACCATGTCCAATTCATTGATGCTCTCCTCCCCAAAGTCAAAGGGCATCACTTGGGGCAGAACTGTATGGGTGGTTGGGATTTTTGATCAAGTAAAAGCAAACAAAAGCAAAGAACGTAGAATGTAAGCAACGTGTGACTGAAGGATTAACCATTGACCGCCAGCATGGCCGATTGCCTGGTGGCCCCGGCGTTGTTCGTGGCAACGCAGGAGTAGTTGCCCGCGTGGCGAGCTCGCACGGATTCGATGCTAAGGACACTCAGTCGCTGGCTGTTTCTGTTGACCAGCAGGCCATCGTTGGTATAGAGGCGTCCTCCGTTCTTGGTCCAATATATATCCACGGGCAGGTCGCCCTTGTTGACAGTACACGAAACTGATACCATGTCCAGCTCATTGATGCTTTCATCGCCAAAGTCAAAGGGCACTATCTGAGGCAAGACTTGGTGGGTTTTGGGAAGAACAAAATCAAAGGAAATGAAACGCTAAAGTTGCTGAAAGTGAACAAGCGAACTAATAAAACTCTTAACCATTGACGGCCAGGATGGCCCAATGTCTGCTCTCGCCCGCATTGTTGGTGGCCACGCAGGAGTAGTTGCCCGCGTGGCGAGCTCGCACGGATTCAATGCTTAGGACGCTCATGCGTGTGCTCGTTTTGGTGACCACAATACCATCGTTGGTATAGACACGACCGCCATTCTTGGTCCAAGCCACATCGATGGGCAGATCGCCCTTGTTGACTGTGCAGGAGGCGGACACCATGTCCAGCTCATTGACGCTCTCCTCACCGAACTCAAAGGGCACTATCTGAGGCAGAACTTGGATTGGTTGGAGGGTTTAACAAATCATAACGTTAGACTACTCGTAACAATCGGTCTAAAACAATGCACAACTACTAAGCGGATCGAGGGAGAGAGAGAGAGAAGCATCACCATTGACACGCAGCTCTGCCGTGTGATAGACAATGCCGGCAGCATTGCGGGCTACGCAGGTGTAGTTGGCTCTGTGGCGGGCATGGACCGACTCAATGCTCAGCATGCTGATGCGCTGCGTCGTCTTGGTAATCAGTATGCCATCGTTTGACATGAGACGCGCCACGCCGAGCTTCGGTTCCGGTGCTGTAGTCCAATACACTTCGAGCGGTGTATCACCCTTGTTGACCGTGCAGGTGGCCGACACCATATCGTTCATATTGATGGCCTCCTCGGCAAAGTCAAAGGGCACTATCTGTGGCGGCACTAAGGTTGGACGGATAATTTATTTTAAGTGAAAAGAGCGACCAACGTTGCAGGGTTTCGCGATGCTGAAAATTCAACCCGCCCAAGAAGATAGGCTGGCGCGCAACTTCCTTGAGAGAAGTTGGCGCAGTAATCAAAATGCTTAACTTACCCATGACTTGCACCTCCAGTGAACCACGAGCCGAGTAACCCTCCTGATTCTTTGCTACACATGTGTAAGTTGCCTGATCCGAATTGCGCTCCACGTTCTCAATAATAAGTGTGCCATTAGGGAAGACCTTCTGCTTGCGGTTGATGGGCAGAGGGCGATTATCTGAGCAAATATGAGTGTTAGCAACCAATACATATTGAAATCGCCATCTCGTCACTTACCGCGCTCCCAGACAATGGAATCAATGGGGTAACCCGCCACGGGGCATGTGACTATTAGGGTCTCGCCAGCAACAATAGCCTTCTTCTCCATCTGACGAATGTAGGGTAAGCCGTAGACATTTAGTTTGGCGGAGTGCTCAGCCACGCCCACTTTGGATTTGGCAATGCATTTGTAGAGGCCACCATCGTTGGCATGTACGGAGGTAATGTTCAAATAGGAAACCACATCGCCGTTGACAGTGACATATTGGCCCACTTGATATCTGTCGTTGTTGGCAATCTTCTTGCCATCCAATTCCCAGGAGATCTCGGGTGTGGGATTGCCACCAGCTACGCACTTTAGGAATACACTTGGACCTGGCTCCATGGTCTCTTCTTGGAAAGCCTGGCGGATGACGGGCGGATCGAAGCGGCCGCCAAGTTTTAGCTCGGCGCTAGCCTCTGCGGATTCCTGATCGTTGCGCACAAAGCATTGATACATGCCCTTGTCCTCTTTCTTGACCGATTCGATGCGCAGAACTGGCTCACTGTGTCCAATGGCCTTGCCGTCCTTCATCCAGCTAACGGTCTTAATCGGATTGCCGGTGTACTGGCAAGTGAACACGGCGGGACGTCCAAAGTCAATAGTTTGCGTGGGAGGATCGATCTTAGCCGAAAGCGGCGCAGTTACGGTCAGAACAGTCTCCACGCTTTCACCGCCCACCGAGTTATTGACAACACACAAATATTTGCCGGAATCCTCGACAACGGCGTCCTTGATGATGAGTGTGCCCGAAACCTGTTTGACACGATCGTTCAGCACCACAGCCTGTTTACGGGTGGTTCCTTCAATGAATTTGTACCATCTGCAACGAGAGGCACATATTAGTGGATGCGATTCAAGCGCTTCAATTTGGCAGCGGGAAAGCGGGCACAAAACGAGCAAACGTTACACAGAGTGTTAGGGAAGCTCACACACTCACAGCTTGGAGCTTGACCTGAAATACTTACATGCATTTTGGCGCTGTCAAATGTACCGAAAATACTTACCTTTGCCGTGAGTTGTGCTCGGAACGTTTGCTTATTCTGTGCGCCACTTTAGGGATTGGGGGAAAAGTTCCTGACAGACAAACGCCCTACGAAAAAATCATCTACCTATAAGTGGGCACTGGAAAGCCCTGCCCCGGACAATGGCCTACAAATGTTTCACTCAGGGGAACCTCATTGATTTCTATGCTCTTGACAGCAATGCGCGGCTTAACATGGCCAATGGGCTCTGCAAAGTTGACAAGTCCAAAATGTTACTGCGAAATCTGTATAAACTGCCTGAACGATAAGTCGAAAACATTCGATTGGAGGGATGAGTACCTAAAAGCAGGCATGGGATATGCTTGTCCCTGGCATAATACGGAAAAGCTGGAACCCGTCCTGCGAGTTAGCTCCTGCAAACGATCACCCGATATAGTGGGCGCTACGCTACCAATGGGCTCTGAAATAAATAAAAGTATCAATTCTGGTTCAATGGCACAAATAACCACAAAAACTGCCTGAATATCGCTGAGACTGTACAAATATTACCTAAATGCTGGTGTTGGATAGGATTGACCTAGGCACAAAATGGCCAAATCGTTGGAAGCTGCTATCGTTATTTCCTGTAAACGACCACCGGAAATCTTAGGTGCCACACTGCCCACAGGCTCTGCAAAGCATCATTGACAGTCGATCAGGATTATGGAATACTAATTGAAAACTGCCCGATTGTTGATTTATTTTATAACTAACCGTATGATGGGCACGGGAAACGCTTGAGCCTGACAGAGTAAGGCAAAGCTGGTCGAGATCTCCTTGACAAATGTAAAGCTTTTCGACTCGCCTGAGAAACTGGGCACCCTTGCCCCAATGGGCTCTACAAGAGATTATAAAATGTTTATGGGCAACAAGAGAATAGTGTAAAACTGTCTGAACTAGGTGATGAATACTTAGAGCTACGTTAAGGCTACCTTATCAGGGGAACAGGATACGCCTGAGCCTGACAAAGAAGTGCGAAACTTTGCCCATATTGCCGCACAAATGTATAGCTTTTCATATCAGTTGCGAAAGTGGGGCCTTTGGCGCTGACAGGTTCTAAAAATACACGGCCAAAATAAACGATTATTTCCGGAATACGATTCAAACAGAAAGCCAGCTGGCAGTGTTAATATTTGTAGGATTTATCGAAAACTGTCTCAACTTTTACCTAATAAACGGCACCGGGTATGCCTGAGCCTGGCAGAGCAAGACAATATCGCTTGAGCTGGGACCGAGGAGAGAGGAGATTTTTGAAGCGCTAGCAAATGTTGGAGCCTTCGCACCGACAGGTTCTGGAAATTGCGAAATTTATGCTGTCAGGACATGGGTTACAATAAGTTAACTATTGAAAACTGCCTGATAGTTTCGAGAAGTGTTAAATACAGGTACTAGTACCTCATTGCAGGCACAGGAAACGCTTGAGCCTGACAAAGCAGCGCAAAGCTCTGACTCACGCCTCGCGTATATGAGAACGAATTGGAATCAGTTGAAAAGGTTGGCGCTCTGGCCCCAATGGGTTCTGTAAATGGCATTGATAAATATAAATAGACCTCAAATAGAATGCGAAAACTGCCTGAATTAAAGCAAACAAAGACTTGAGTCTACCTCATGGCGGGTACTGGAAACGCCTGCGCCTGACACAGCAAGGCGAAACTTTGACCCACGGCGCGTGCATAAGAAAAAGAGTTGTAGTCCGTCGAAAACGTAGGAGCCCTAGAGCCAATAGGTTCTGCAAAGTTATGGCATGATAAATATATTTGTTCCTCAAATACCACAGAAAACTGCCTGATAGTAAAGATAACTCGTTAAACTTGCCTAATGATGGGCACGGGAAAGGCCTGCGCCTGGCACAACAGGGCAAAACTTGCATTAATGGAACGCTCAAATATGCTGCCCTTGGAGTCACTCGAAAATGTGGGTGCCTTTGCGCCGACAGGCTCTAAAATAAAAGTAATCAATGCCATAATTAAAGTGTTCCCATAGAACCATTTGACAAGCGTTGGTCCAAGTCCCCGACTAAGATAATAGTTTACTGATGAGCTCGCGTTTCCAATTACCTAAATACTGGCACCGGGTATGCCTGGCCTTCACAGGTCAGGGCCAAGTTGTTATGCTGGGGAGCGTGTATGGTAAAAGTTGAGGCAACGCTGGGAAAACTGGGCGCCTTGAAGCCAACAGGTTCATGAGATATATCAGATAAGTCGTTATTATGTGTTAGGAATAGGAAGAAGAAACTGACTGAATGTTGGGTGGTGCTCGGATTACCTAAAAACAGGCACTGGAAATGCCTGAGCCTGGCAGAGCATCGCAAAGCTGAAGCCCAATGGAACATGTTGCTGGAATGTCTGGACGCCCGTGGGCACAGCCGGCGCCTTTGAACCAATGGGCTCTAAGAAAATAAAGGTTATCAATTTAACAATTAAACTATATCATCTGTGCATAATCATAGTGCAGAACTTTCCTCTACTTTTGATATTCGCTACTTTGTGAGCAACATATTTTCTATCAATGAATTTGAGCATTATGCGTCATTGTTATGAGTACATTAAATTTGTACTAAATATGAAAACAGCTGAAGGGTTACATGTCAGGTATCTCGAGTTATAACTACATTTGACATTTCATTATCATTTGAGATAGTTTAAGCGGGGCTTACGAAAGTATCTCACTGAAAATGAAAAAGTGAAATTGTGGCCAAGTATTGCCAACAGGTGTTGTAAGATACTAAGAGCCAGTGGTATAAAAAGTCAGCCGAAAGTCACACGCAAGCAGCAAAAATAATTCATTTGCCAACTTCAGACACTAAAAAAAAAACCCTTCAACTTTGACCTCATTTGTACGTACGTGCACTTTCCACGTAACCTGTTGACACAGACGGCACAAGCTAACGCAACCCCCAAAGACGCTGAACTTTTCAGACATAAACTCGAAAAGTAATAGAAGAAGAGGGAAAGCCGGCAACAACAGACGCGCACAATGCATATTTAATTGGGGTCAATGTTAAGCTTAAGGTTAACGAAATACCAACAACAATAACAACAGCTACGCGCCCCGTTGGGGCATGCGCACCTTGTGTATGTGTGCGGCAACAGGTGGGCGTGCAAGAGCCGAGCCAAAGACAACAAGCGAAAGTTGACCCAGAAACGTGCGTTCATTCAATAAACCGGTGTGCGAGCGAGACGCATGCAGTCCACACAATCCACACAAACAAACGGCGCGCGCATGTAGGGGTAATTGTTTGGGAAATTTCGTGTGGATCACGAGCATGTGCACTGGCAAAGAGAGCAGGAGAGAGCGCACACAAGTCGCATCAGCTGTTGTTTACAAACAGACACGCACACAAGCGCAAAGCCTTCGACACACACAAGTGTGTGGGGAAGGAGGGCGGCAGCTGCATTTGATTGCCTTTTGCGGTGCTTTTCTATGAATTCTCCCGCTGCCACCGGCTACGGTTTGTTTATTTAGCTTACTTTTTATGAGTGTGTGTGCGCCTATTTGACGTATGTCTGTGTTTGTGCACATTTTATGAATGAAGCAGCGCTTGGCCCCTCGCTCGGGGTTAAAGTTCACACGCCTCATGCATAAATAAAGGCACGCATTGTGCCCCGATTGGGTTGCGGGTTTCTGACTAACCTGCTGATAGGAACAGGAAATGCCTGCGCCGGGCACAGCAGCACGATGTCTATGCCGCGCTGCCGCTCAATCCCAGACCATTTCGTGTCAATGGAGAGAGTGGGGCCCTTGGCCGAAACGGGTTCTGTGTGGGAACATGAATTTAGGAACTATCTAGCTGAAACCTTTGAATGTTGGCATAGGGCATAATAGACAATTATTTTACCCAAAACTTGGCGCTGGATAACCCTGAGCTGGGCAAAGCAGCGATATATCTGTGCCTCTGTGCAGCTCAAAGGGTTTACTCATTATCGAAGGTATTCGCGGCGCCGTGCTTGAAACTGGCTCTGCAAAAAAAAAATAAAACACAAAAAATAAGCTGACTGAAATCCCTCAAAGGTTGATCGCAATTGCTACCTCTCAGTTTTTTTTTTGTTCCTTAACTATTCTAACCTGAATGCGGGCACTGGATAAGCTTGAGCGGGACAAAAAAGCGCCAAATTGGTGGACAGCATGCGTTCGATCCAAGAGCGTTTGATATCGTTGGAGAGCAGGGTGGGTGCCTTACCGCCCACGGGCTCTAAATGGTCAAGAGAAATCTTGTACAATGGCAAAAAACTTCAAGCTAACTGAATGTTGGGTGCCTGACAGTTTCGGCTTACCGAAAACTAGGCGCTGGATAACCCTGTGCTGGACAAAGCAACGAGATCGAATAATTCTGATGCAGTTCGAGAGGTTTCTGGACCAGGGCTGGTGTTCTTGGGGCTGTGCTTGAAATGGGTTCTGTGAATTGTTCGAGAAAAATAATAAAATAAAAGTAATCTCTGGCCTGATGTTGGTTTAGAATAACACCCGCACTTATATATAAACGCACCTAAAACTAGGAGCTGGATAACCTTGCGCGGGACAAAGAATTGCAGTGGCAGAATGAAATTGAACAATGTTGGGCTTATACGTCAGTGCATTTATCTTGGGCGGGCTGCTGGCAATGGGCTCTGGAAAATGGTAACGAAATTTTATAGTCAATTGGCGAAAACCTGACGTAAGCTTAATATACAGCCTAAATGTTGGTGAGTGGAGCTGAACAAATAAAAAAAGCTTACCGGAAACCTGGCGCGGGATAGCCCTGAGCTGGGCACAATATGGAAATGCTGGAGTGACCAGCCACAATTAAGGGACGTGACTGAAGTGGCGGCACTTTGGGAGCAGTGCTCGAGACAGGCTCTGGAAAATTGTATCAAACTTAACACAGAACTAAAATAAACCACCTGAACCACCTGAAATGTTGGACACTAGAGCTTGAACTTTTACCTATAGACTGGTACTGGATAACCTTGGGCAGGGCACAGTAAGGACAAGGTGCTTGAGCCAGCGTATGTTTTCATATCAAATTTGGCCAGGGAAACAACTTTGGGCACAGCGCTGCTAATGGGCTCTGAAGGAAAAAAATCATATACATTTAAGAAATACCAAAAGAAAAACTGAAATCTGCCTGATTAGTTATAGAAGAGAACTTTGACTGTAACATTACCGAAAGGCAGGTACTGGATAGCCCTGTGCTGGGAAAACTATCTCGACACCGATTTTTTGGTCGAAATTCATGTCCAAATCTTACCCCAAGATTCGTATATAGACATGGGTCAAAAATTACCACCCCCATATCTCGGCCAAATCTCATCCGATTTTCACGAAGTTTGGCTTTTTCTTCATGGTTTTCCCTCTAGATTAATGTGGCATTCAAATCTCGACACCGATTTTTTGGTCGCAATTTATGTCCAAATCTTACCCCAAGATTCGTATATAGACATGGGTCAAAAATTACCACCCCCATATCTCGGCCAAATCTTATCCGATTTTCACGAAGTTTGGCTTTTTCTTCATTGTTTTCCCTCTAGATTAATCTGGCATTCAAATCTCGACACCGATTTTTTGGTCGAAATTAATGTCCAAATCTTACCCCAAGATTCGTATATAGACATGGGTCAAAAATTACCACCCCCATATCTCGGCCAAATCTCATCCGATTTTCACGAAGTTTGGCTTTTTCTTCATGGTTTTCCCTCTAGATTAATGTGGCATTCTGAACTATGGATTTACCTAAAAAATGGCATTGGATAAGCCTGGCCAGGACAAAAGAGTGTAAAGCTGCCGCCTAAATGAGCCTCGGCGTTTTTAAGACGATTTTCAACACTGATTTTAGGCGCTACGCTGCCAACGGGTTCTAAGAAAATATAAACATTAAGCTGGTTATCATCAATAATTTAAATTGAGAAACTGCCTGAATGTTATGGAGGTAAAGGAGTCACAATAGAAATTTACCTAAAGGCCGGCACTGGATAGGATTGTGCTGGGCAGAAGAGCGTGAACGTAGTGCCGAGTTGAGCTGCCGCATCTTTGAGACGTTCACCAACACTTATTTTGGGCCCAACAGAGCCAACGGGTTCTATTAAAACCAAATTTTTATTCTGATACGTGCTGAAAATAGACTACTCCTACGTACTAAATGAAAACTGCTTTTGTTTCAGGCTTGAGCACCCTCTTACCTAAAGGCTGGCACTGGATAGGACTGTGCTGGACAAAAGATGCTCAGATCTCCCTTCAAGGGCACCTCGGCATCCTTGCGTCGCTCCCCGATGCTAATTTTGGGCGGCACGCTGCCAACGGGCTCTTAAATTGAACAACTTATTAAAGTTAAACAACAACAAAACAGGATCAAGTTGCGAACTTTGAAAACTGCTTAAATGGGCTCGGCAAGGACCATAGAAATTTGTAGTCAAGTTTTTGGGAGGGGTGCAGAAACAATGTCGGGGCTCAAGCCATCACAACTATTGCGTGTCATTGTTTGACCAGACCGTTATGAATAGGCTTAATCATGCGACTCTGAGAGGGGAATGGGAGCTGAAGGCTTATGGCTAATTACAATTTGTAGCCAATGATGCTTGAAGACTTTGCTATGCCTGAGCTATAATTGGAGAGCTTTGGATGCACAATTACCTATAGAAGGGCACTGGATAGGCTTGCGCGGGACAAAAGATGGCAACGGTTTGGCCAAGGCGAATGCTGTCGCGTGTCAGGCCATCTTGCTTGTTGACACGTGGCGCCACGCTGCCCACAGGCTCTGCAAGATGAAGCACAAGATAAAAAGGTTGTAGAAGACCACCGACTAAACACACAGAGTAGCTCTTAACAACTAGAACTGCAAGGCAAAGGATACTCGATTCGATTTACCTATAGGCTGGCACAGGATACGATTGGGCGGGACATTGTATGGCTATGGCCTGTGTGCTGCTTATGCGATCATGATTGAACTCATCCTTGCGATTTACTCGAGGCGCAACACTGCCTATCGGCTCTGTAAACAACAATGACTTTACTAAAATATACCCTACAGCTACATAACAGCCTGAATGCAAATGGGGGATATGCGACAGAAGACTAGCTTAAGGCCTTACCTAAAGGCTGGCATGGGATAGGACTGTGCCGGACATAACAGAGCCATGGATTTGTTGGATTTGGCCAGAAAAATGCCCAATTTATCTTTGATTTCTACTTTGGGTGCTACGCTGCCCACAGGCTCTGCAAAGATAAGTCATTACGGCATTAATATAAGCTAATCCCAAATCTGAAGCTGCCTTAATATTGGGCTGGTTAACATCGGGCGCTACAACAGGCCAATGGACATCCAGTTTTTCTAGACCTCATGATTCTTAAAGCTAAGGCATTACCTATAAGCGGGCATTGGGTATGACTGCGCGGGACAGAGCAAGGCTAAAGAATTTTCAGAACTGGCTAAAAATATGCCAGCTTTATCCTTAATTTCTACTTTGGGCGCGACTGAGCCAACTGGTTCTGCAAATATTCAAAAGAAAATTGTTTGTCTGTTCAGAATATCCTAAAGATCCTAAGACTGCATCGGCTCAAAGGTACTCGACTGTGCATTACCTAAACGCCGGCATTGGGTAACCCTGAGCGGGGCACACCAAACTTAAGGAGTTATTCGATCTGATGATGGCTATTTTGACTTTATCATTAATATCGACTTTCGGTGCCACAGAGCCAACGGGTTCTGAAAAGGAGAGTGGCGAGGACATCCTGCATTTAACAAATTTGATGGCATAGGACTTCTAAATAGGGAACTGCCTGAATGTCATTCTCACCTAAATGAGGGCATTGGATAGCCTTGAGCTGGACACAAAATACTTAGCGACGCATTTAAGGAGTTTGAAGAGAACTTCAGCTTATCGTTCATGTCCACCTTAGGTGCAACAGATCCCACAGGCTCTGTAGAGGGTTAAATGGGGACATAAGGTCAAGAATATATTCTTGAGACTGCCTGTTGCTGGTTTAGAGCACCCTTACCTAAATGCTGGCATAGGATAGCCTTGCGCAGGACAAATTAAGCTCAGTTGAAGCCCAAGATTTGCAACAGATATTGCAACTTTATCTTTCAAATCAACTTTCGGCCCCACAGTGCCAATAGGCTCTGCAATAAGAGGAGCATGTGAATCGAGTGTCTATAGCTAAGGGATACAACTGCCTGAATAGGATAAGGGCGTAATTTATTGTACCTAAAAGCTGGCATAGGATAGCCTTGAGCTTTGCAGAACAGATTCAAAGAAGTATTTGAACTTTTTATGGCGAAATCCATTTTATCGTGCATGTCAACCTTAGGCGCCACACTCCCCACGGGTTCTGAAACAGTTTGATTGCACAAGCGACTTTAATGGATCGAATTGGAGTAAAGGTAACTTTCAGAAAACTGCCTAAATATGCCTGTGAATCGTACCTGTACGCAGGCATGGGATACGACTGCGCGGGGCAAAGCAAGTTTAGGGCTTGCCCCTTAGGCTAATCAAGCCACGTTATACGATCCTTAACATCCACCTTCGGAGCCACACTACCAACAGGTTCTGCAAGCAATTTCGAAATCTTTAACTGCTACAGCGAAATCTCTAATGAAAACTGCCTGAAAATTTTAATGGTGGCGAATCTTACCGGGCAGCGGGCGTTGGATACGACTGGGCTGGACAAAGTAAGCTCAGGGATATACCCTTTGGTTTATCAACCCATTTAATGCGATCATTAGCATCAACTTTGGGTGCAACACTGCCCACGGGCTCTGTAATATGCCAGAACCTTAACAAAATGGCCTGGAGGTTTCAAAGTAAACTGCCTGAATGCTGAGCGGGGCTTACCTAAATGTTGGAACCGGATAGGATTGAGCTGGACAAACTATGGCCAGACTGTGATTCAAAGCTGCACGAGCGTAGTTAATCTCATCTTTGATATCAACTTTAGGGGCTACGCTCCCGACAGGTTCTGTGAGCACAAATAAATAGTTTGTAAAAAGACCTCTATAGGAATGTAGCCTGAACGTTGGGCTGAGCAAATTACCTAAACGATGGCATGGGGTACGACTGGGCTGGGCAAATGATCGCCTTGGATAACCCCAGCTGAGTTCGCGCAAATGTAAACTCATCCCGAGTATCGACTTTAGGTGCCACAGAGCCCACGGGTTCTACAAGAAAAGTTACATAAGTACTTATGCTTAAATATCTAAATCTCAACTGTAGAACTGAATGTGGTCGAGGAATTTTTAGAACTAACCTAACTAAAGGCACGGGATATGCCTGGCCAGGACATTGCATGGCATAATCCTCAGACAACTTCACCTGCAGCACTTGAAACTTGTCGTGAAGACTTGTGATTTTTGGTGGCACAGACCCTATCGGTTCTACAAAAGAGTATATCATATTTACAAGTGAAATAATAAATAAAACTAACCGAACTATGGGTACAGGGTATGCTTGACCAGGACATTGCATAGAATAATCCTCATTCAACTTCACTTGCACAAACTGAAACTTGTCATGCAGATTCGAAATTTTTGGTGGAACCGAACCAATGGGTTCTAGTATAAGAAAATAAAACAATATTATTTAACTCAGACAGCAGGAGAAGCCCGAAATGTTGGCTAAGTCTTTTAAGGTCTCTTATGCTATGCATAATTAAACTAACCGAACTACTGGCACTGGATAAGCCTGACCGGGACACTGCATAGCGAAATTGGATTCCAGCTTAACTTGCATCAATTGAAATTTGTCATTTATGTTATTGATTTTCGGCGGAACAGATCCGATGGGTTCTGAAATTGTATACTACATTAAAACCTTGCCGTAGGAATGCAGATGAACATTTGAAAGCAGCCTGAAGTTGAGAAGGAATCGGGTTACCTGTTGGTGGGTACGGGAAACGCTTGACCCGGGCACTGCATGGCATATTTAGTGCCCAAAAGTATTTCCATAGTGCGCACTCGCTCGAGCAGATTAAGTTTGGGTGGGACAGAGGCAACCGGCTCTAGAGGGGATAAAGACTTACTTTCAGGCTTGGGTCTTGACAACTACTTGAATGTTGAATTGGATTGGGAAAACATACCTATATGCGGGTATGGGATACGATTGTGCAGGGCACTTAAGACTCAAGCTCCTTGCCACAAACGCACGAGCATTGGCCACTTCATCATCTATGCTAACTTTGGGTGGAACGCTACCAATTGGTTCTGAAAGGAACAGGAATGTGGACATGCCTTTAACTAGCCTTTTATAGCCCACGAAAGCTGCCTGAATGCTTACTGGCTCCGACAAAAGTCCTACCTATATGCTGGTATGGGATACGATTGCGCAGGACACTTCAGGCTAAATCTGGCACTTTGCACGGTTCTTGTATTGGACAATTCATCAGCTACACCAACCTTTGGCGGAACACTGCCTATCGGCTCTGTAAACATTGCGAATGTTACACGGTATCTCAAATTATTTGAAAACTGCCTGCTAGAAATGAGGAAATTGGTCTAACAAAATAATCACTTTAATTATATTGTCTGCCCCTTGGTAAACCTGTCGTAAATTGGGCTATTTGCGGAATTCAAACCTCACAAAATGGCTTCAAGACATGCAGCACAATTTTAATGGGAGTACCTAAAGGCAGGCATGGGATATGATTGCGCCGGACAGAGCAGGGCAAATCCGGCCTGCTCGGCTATCTCGCGTGTCTGTAGTTTGTCCTGGACGTTTATTTTGGGCTTGACCGAGCCAACGGGTTCTACAATAAAAAATTTGAATTTCTTTGGTTCAGGACATGCACTAGAAAACTGTCTGCCGTTGGTCAGGCGAGGTAACGGCTTGTAGTTATTTTTAAACCCACCTAAAAGCGGGCGTTGGATAGGATTGTGCCAAGCAGAGGAGGGAATAACTATTGCTTAGTTCCACGTCTATAAACTGATGTTTGTCTTGGGCGTTGACTTTCGGACGCACACTGCCGACGGGTTCTAGAAAGCGTAGTTAACTTTAATATCAACATTTTTGGACTAACTGAATGTTGGTCTGGAAAAGGGTTGTCGGCTAGTCTTACTTGAAAATGGGCATTGGATACGATTGCACTGGACATTGTATGTTGAAACTGGTGCCGCCCTGAATTTGCATCATTCTGAAGCGTTCGAGAAAGTTCAATTTGGGTGCTACACTTCCAACGGGCTCTGAAATTCGAATGGGATAAAATGCCCGATAAAGGGAAATTTTCCAATTACATCTATAAAACAGCTGAGATGTTGGGCTAGTTCGGAAAGCTTTTCATAGGAGCATTACCTATAAGCCGGCTGTGGATAGCCTTGAGCGGGACATAAGAGGCTCAAGCTATGCAAGTTCTTGACCTTAACATGTTTCAGATCATCCGCATTCGATATTTTAGGACTAACACTACCAATGGGCTCTGTAATTGAGAAATTCAGCCTTTTATAGAGGACTTATCTAACTGTTGAAAACTGCCCTAGTTCGCTTAGGGGTAATCAAGATGTCCATATTACCTATAGAATGGCTGTGGATATGCCTGAGCAGGGCACAACAAGCTCAAGTCTAGAGCGCTCCTGCCTTTAATGTGTTTGTAATCTTCACCCGTATTAATTTTGGGGCTAACACTGCCAACTGGCTCTGCAAATGTTAAGGCCAAGATAAGGGCAATATGATAAGAGAATAAAAAAACTGCCTGAATCCGAGAAGGGAATCTAGCTTACCTATAGAAAGGCACTGGGAAAGCCTGAGCGGGACAGAGCAAAGTAATGCTGTTAGAGAGCTGAACTTTAGTTGTGCGTGAATCATCACCAGAGGTAAGCCTTGGACCGACGCTGCCAACAGGCTCTTTAGAAGAGCAATGCAAAATGAATATGATGTGTATGGTTGAAAATTAAGCCTTATGTTGGGATATGGAGCTGGACACATTAAAGAAACACTGTGATTAAGCGGCACACGAGTAAGCGTTATGTGTTCCTGATTGCCATTGCCATTGAGCTGTGGACTAACGCTCCCAACGGGTTCTAGATCGGATCGGAAATACACATGTGAGATACTAAATGTTGAGATACCTAAATGTTGGGCTAGTTTACCTATAAAAGGGCACCGGATAGGCTTGAGCTGGGCACATAAGCGTAGCACTCTGACCCCGTAATACTTTCGGAATTTTGATGGCATCATCGCCGGCTGTAACTTTTGGACTAACGCTTGCCACCGGTTCTTTAGAGGATAAAAAATAAACGTGATTTGTTTGCTAGTCTATGTCAAAAAAGCCTAAATGTTGGGCTGGTTTACCTAAAGAATGGCACCGGATATGCCTGAGCTGGACATAAGAGCGTGGCGCTCTGCTCCATGTGCACCTTGAGGATGCGAGACTCATCGCCACTCGTGAGGCGCGGTCCCACACTACCAACGGGCTCTGGCGAGGAAGATATCTTGTTTACAGATTGGCAAGGCTTGGCCTGCCTTAAGTTGGGATAAGTCTTACCTAAAGAGGGGCACAGGGTACGATTGTGCCGGGCATAGCAAAGTAATGGGACGCTCTGCAGCGTATTGCACAACTTTAATATCATTGCCCGAAAGCAGACGAGGACCAACGCTTGCAATGGGTTCTTGAAAATGGAAAAACATTCAGTCTGTGCAGGAAAAGAAAAACTGGCCAAAGTTGGGTCTAAGTTAACTGAGCTGTCATTGGCTGGCCCACCTAGATAATGGCGCTGGAAATGCCTGAGCGGGACACAGCAAAGTGAGGCTGTTATTGGCCGCGCTCGTAAAGCTGCTACTTGTCAGTGTGGTTGGGAACTTGGGCGAAACCCTGCCGACTGGTTCTGTGAATGAATCGAAACGGAAAATGAAATTTTAGATTTGCATTTAATTGCTGTTAAATATGACTATAGCTATGTACTGGTTGTTGGCACTTACCTTGGGCGCATTGATACAAATTTTGGGAAAGTTGAAATTCAATTATAATACCCTGGTAAGGCGCTGGTAAGCCAAGTTCTTTATTAAAACGGACCAATTAAATTTTCCTCTCTCTTAGCTTTATTTCAAGCTCATAGCATTGTCGAGTACCCTATCCCAACATTCAGGCAGTTTTCAATTTAGTACAGAGCAACAATTTTCTGACTATACTGCATAGACATTATGAGATTTAGGCATACATTGATTCAGTTTTAATGTTCGAAAAACACGCTTTTTCCTCACAAAGAAAGAGATTTTAAGCAAAAAATCTTTTTGATTGAATATTGGATATCAGTTTTTATCAGAATATTGTTGCTCTAAAATATAATTTTAAATTGTAAATAATGTAAATTACTGAACTATTAAAATCTCAGTAATTCACAGGCGAAGCAAGGAAATTGCCAATGAGTGTATAAACTTATGTCATTTTCCTTGTAACGCTTTCTATACTTGGAATATATTTCAACTTTAGTATATGGAAAAAGCTGAGATTTTGTAATTGAATAATTAAAATCTTTGAATAAGTCAAAATTGAAAATTTTTAAAATTTACTTTAATTTACTTTTTAATATTCCAAATATATTTCAAAAAGTCACAAGCCAAAATTGTTAGCTTAATGCTTAACATTTAAGGGCTGAGACTTTTAATTTCACACCAAGTAAACTTCACACAGTTAAAATATATTTTAAATTAGAAAAATCATTTTTCATTTTAAATATACGTTTAATATATTGTTTTATAACTGTATGAAATTAACTTAACACTGATAACCCTCAGTTATCCATCTGTTGGCAAGTAGTTTAAGCTTTTGGCATTGCATGCAATAAAATTAAAAGTAATTTGATAAGACAAGGCTTAATCCAAAGCATATACGAATTGAACCTTAGGGCAAGGCATTGTTTTGAACCGTGAACCGAACAGCCTTTGGTTTTTGTATTCTTTTAGCAAGCTTTTCAATCTGTTTGTGTTCACATTTCAGACAGTTTTGATATTTCAAAAACAACTGCCACAAGAACGGATAACTGAGTACCTTACAATGGGATAACAATTGGCAAACAAGGCCGACTTACCTGTGATGACCAAACGTCCTTTGGTCGCACTCAGACGCGTCTCTCCAGTCAAACGATGCTTGGTGCGGCACTGGTAGCTCTTGTATCCGTCTTCGGGTCCGACTTCACGAATGTGTAGCTCGCCGGAGGGCAGAACGAGGTATTTGCCGTCTAATATTTATTGTTGTGAGTTGAAAAGTAATTCATAAAAATATATTAGTGATGACGTTACCGGGGTTAACTTAAGCTATCATACAACAAAGCTATTTTTTAGACAATTAACAAAACACTCAATTAAAATCGATGCTTTAATTGAATTTTTCGCTTCGCAATCGAAAGCCACATGCCACAAAAATATTAATAAGTTAGGAATTCATATGTTTTCGTTTCCTTAGATCTTAACGCTTTGTGCAATTTAATAATTATGTCAATTGTTAGTATCATGCAATGTGGCTTGCCAATGCGAATTGTGTATTAAAGTATTGCTAAGGTCTTAGTCCATTTACATTTGCATATGCTTATGTAAGGCTGAAAATAGTTTTTAACTTTATTACAAGAATTTGATTTAAATATTTACTCTAATTTTCAGTCTTACAACAACAAGCAACATTCCGTTCAGACAATAATTTATTGTATTTTTTGTGCAATACAATAAATTAGTCTAAAATAATAATTTGACTTATAACTAACTATACACCATGAGCAGGCTTCTTATCGAAAAGAAATTGTAGTAAGTTGAATCAATTTTTTAATAAAAACTTTATTTTAATATTCTTAGTAAGTTGCAGCCAAAAAATTCCAAATTATATCGAAATATACACACTTTCTTTTAAAACTTAGTTCAATTCAAAAAATAAATTTGTAGATATGTATATATAACAATTAATACATATGTTCTATTGCAAGTTATAAAAAATGTGAACAACTCAGTGACACCTAGGTTCAAAAATGTAGAAAACCAGTTAGACAAACCGAGCATTAGTTCGAAAAGTTAACTGGGCTAACGAATATATTTATCTCGAGTTTGCAGTCTCAATTTTCACAAATACAATTGATTGGCTCGGTAAATAGTTTTTTAAAAAGTTTAAATATTTCCACAATTTCTTTTCATTATGATATTCATGCTACAACAAAAATGCCAATAGTTTAAGCTGATGTGGATTATCATATGATGATTTTTGTTAAACAGCCTTTGGGTTATGATATATGGTACATGTTTATATATCTGTACATATGCGCAAAATTGATGATATAATTATTAGCATTTTTGTTCATACATATTTACAGTAAAAGTATTTACACTAGGCTACAAAACAACGCTACTTTCAACTACATGAAGGGGTAGGTTCTTGTGAATGGTTTTGGGCAAGTCAGGAGCGACTCTTGGAGTTTGTTTGGAGAGGGAAAGGATGTGAAAATAAAAAGAAGAGATTTGGAGTTTGGTCGGAAAATGAAAATAATAAAAAAGATAGAGAAATTGAAATTGAAAGTAAAGCAAAAGTAATCGAATGCCTAACAGCGCAGTAGTTGGGGGCCTGTTAGAGAAAGTCTGGGACCAAGGCACTGAATGATCATTCAACAAGCTGGCATTGAAATTTGAAATTGAATTGGACGGGATTTGTTTTGTGTGAGTGTGGCACTAGAAGCAAGTCTAAGAAAACTTTGAAAACTTAAAGCTAGTGGTTTACCGCTAGCTGTGACATCGGCCTGCGGATATATTTCACGCTCCTCGTCCTCAACCCACGAGTCGACCACAATAAAGTCGGCAACAAAACTGGGTATATGACATTTAAGGATTGCGCTGTTGCCGCGCAGAATGGACTCATCCATGACATTGACGCTGTAGGATTGTGGCACAACTGCAAAGTGAACGAGACAGAGAGAGAGAGAGATAGGAAGATGGTCTTCCATGAAATATGCTGATATCAGATAAACGAGGATAAATCATAAGGTAATGTTGGATGGTTGGCCCCTTCATGTTTCTACAATGGCAATAAGATACGCAGAGGTGCTGTACCCGTTATGTTCTTGGTATAGACACCGCCCTCGGTATCAATCCAATCGGTTATGTCGATGTGATCGGCCACAAACGACGGCGTCTGACATTTGAATATAGCTGCATTGCCCTTGATGACGTACTCATCGTATACTTGCGACTCAAAGAACTGTTTGACCACTGAAATGGCAATAATGCAAGTGCGGAAACATAAGCAGGGCATGATTCGAAAAAGCAAAGATAATGTTGGAGTATAGGTAACAGGGAAAAGAGTTCTAGACTAAGGCCTAACTTAATCGATTAAAAGCCGCATTTAATGCTATACCCATGGACTCGTCGGGCAGTGGGCGTATTATTTCCACGCCCTCCTCATCTAACCAAGCCTCAACGTCTATGAAGTCGGCCACAAATGAGGGCACCAGGCACTTGAGCGTGGCAGAGTTTCCCCGCAGCACAAATTCATCGATGACGCGTGTCTGATAGAACTGATGCACAACTAGGAGAGAAACGAAGAGTTGGGCGCATAAAAATGATTAAAGAATTTGGGAAATAAATGAATTAAGGGAAACTTTGTGGACACAATACATTTGGGATTGGCGCCTCTACGAATATTAATTAGAAATATAATCGATTGTAGTACCCGTCTCCTCGGCATTGTTGGGATAATAATTGCGACCCTCTGAGTCCAGCCAGAGATCGACGAAAACAAAATCCGCCACATACGAGGGTATCTCACATTTCATAACAACAGAGTTGCCTCGAATAACATACTCATTGTCGGCCTCCGATTCATAGGATTGTATGACAACTGAATCAAATGATTTTCACAAAGAAAATTAAAGTTCAAAAGTTCAAATGATGGATGTAAGAGTGGGAACATTTGTTAAGAATTAAGTGTTTAAATCTAATAAGTATATATAGAATTTGATTGGACTGTACCATAGGCGCCAGTTGAATTATCCCGCCACAATTCGACCCCCTGATCATCCACCCAGGCCTCAACTTGCACAAAGTCGGCTACAAACGAGGGTATCTTACACTTGACCACCGCCGCGTTGCCCTTAATGACATACTCATTCTCGGCCTCGGTTATATAGAACTGTGAGACGACTGCGTGAAAAGGGTATTAAATAAAATAAAAGCAAATTAACTTGTAAAGCTTGGAATTGGTTGGGATGGGTGCTCATTTAAATTAAGGATTGCAAATCAATACAAGGCGCACCATAATTATCGGAGAAAGACAAGACATTGCCCTCCTCATCAATCCAAGACTCGACACGCACAAAATCAGCAACAAACGATGGAATCGAACACTTTAAAACGGCAGCATTGCCTTTTATAACATATTCGGTCATAATTTCGGCCTCATAGAACTGATTGACCACTGAAAATGTTTTGAAATAAGCGGAAAGTAAGAAATTATAAGTAAGTTGGAAAGTGTTTGGATACTGAAAGCCCGTGTTAAATTAGTTAAAACTAAACTAGCTTATTTGTTGCGCTTAGCCAATACCATAATTGTCAGAGTGGCGCAGTTCGGTGCCCTCCTCATCGATCCAAGACTCAACCCGAACAAAATCAGCCACAAACGAGGGTATGGAACATTTAAGTACTGCCGCATTGCCTTTGATGACATACTCCATCAAAATATCGGCGCCATAAAACTGATTAACAACTGGACAACAGATGAAAATTTAAGCAAAAGTTATAGCATTTAAACGAAATTAGAGTAAATAGAAACGGGAATTGGAGTGGGAAGCTGCTGCTTAAAAATAACAACCACAATATCTGGAGAATCTACCAAAATCATCCTGCGGTATATACTCCGTGCCATCGCTGGCTACCCAGGCCTCAACGCGTAAAAAGTCTGCCACAAAACTTGGTATGGTGCATTTCAAAACTGCCGTATTCCCCTTGATAACATACTCCGAAACAACTTCAGCTTCGTAGTATTGGTTGACGACTGCAAAATGTTGAGAAAGTATTATGAAAAACGAACAGGCTAAAGTAAAGAAAACCACGCACTGTAGAATGTAAATGTAAAATGAAAAGAAAATAGCAAATAGGGGGTTATGGGTAAAACAGGAACTGCTAGTTTCCAATACTATCTGATCTTATAAACTGTAGAATCGCTTAGCTAAGTATGTTATATACCCATGCCCTGTTGGTCCTCGAGTGTTCCATAGAGTTCGCCCTCTTCGTCTTGCCAGGAAACCACCTGCACAAAGTCCGCCACAAACGATGGTATGGAACACTTGAGAACTGCCGAATTGCCGCGTATGACATATTCATTGTTAACCTCCGACTCGTAGAACTGTTGCACAACTGGCGGGGTGGTTAAGGGGAAAATGAAAATGATTTCGTGTTGAGAGTGCAAGCGGGGTGGGGGAATGGGGCAACACCTTGCGTGTTACGGGCGTGTGAAACTCTTCAGCAGCCTAATTGAAACAAGAGAGGTTCAGCTTTTAAGCGACAAGAGTAGCAGGCGCATTTAATGGACCTTAATGCGCAATTTGATGAGATGTACATAAATATTTAGTTATGCGCCGCGCAACTTCCCTGAGAAAGTCCACAGGTTAATAATAGTTTAAGAACATGGCTCATAGACACGCACTGAGAAAATTAGCCAGCATACATTTTGTAAGAAGGATAAATGCAAGACAAGAAAACAAAAGAAAAGAAAAGTTAATGAAAATATGGTTTGGGGAGGAGCACTTAAAATATTATGATGCTGGTCAAACACAACTGTACATGACTCTCTCCAAAAATAACCTCAAAATGCACAAACCATATTCGGTGCCTGGTAAAAAGTCCTCATTCTGATCCGTGTGCCAGGACACAACACTAACAAAATCAGCCACAAACGAGGGTATCTCACACTTCAGAACTGCAGCATTTCCGCGTATGACATAAGCCTTATTTACATCAGTATCGTAGTATTGGGCAACGACTAAAGTAAAGCCACAAAGCAAAATAAGAATCATGGTTAAGCCAAGTAAAAAAAAATAAATTAACTAAAGTATTTGTATATTCAATAACAAATCATCAAACAAAAGTGGAGACACTTGACGAAGCTTGGAGAATTGTTCTATTTGTTGGTATCCTGACCAGTGTTGGTTAATTGAGTTAGCTAATTGCAATAATACACCTGTGTCGCTCGTATTTTACAGTTATTAGTGAAGCTTGGTGTTGGTTGTTGGTGGGTGTTTCTAGTACTTAGTACTTTAGTGTTGGTTAACTGTACTTGCACTTTACACGAGTTTTCTGTGGGCATATGCTGTGTTGTTCTGTGTTGGTTGTGTGTGAGAGTGTTGTTGTTGTTGTTGTTGTTGGGAGTATAGTTTGCAGAAGTAGTTAAAGTAGTGCTGTTTTGCAACACACGCACAAACACTCATAGACAGAAGCACACACTGACACACACACACAGAGAGAGAGGCAGAGAGCCAAAATCACACACCATATTCAGTGTCTGGATAGAAATTCTCTTCCTGATCGGTATGCCAGGAAATGACATTTACAAAATCAGCGACAAACGATGGTATATCACACTTCAATATGGCCGAATTGCCGCGTATGACAAACGCCTTGTGTATATCCTCTTCATAGTGTTGCGAAACGACTAAACGTATAGAAGAAACAAAATAAATCTTTATAAAGTAAGATGGGAAAATAGATCGTGAATGGAATGATGGAGTTTTCTTATTGTTGCTGTGGCCATGCGATTTTAGTACACCTAAGCCTAAGAATGTAGTGCAAAGTGCTATGCTAGATTTTTTTTATAGTTGTTGTTCTATTGGGAGCAGCGCACCATATTCTGTGCCCGGAAAGTAGTTCTCCTCCTGATCGGTATGCCAGGAGACAACCTCAACGAAATCGGCCACAAATGAGGGTATCAAGCATTTGATAACTGCCGAATTGCCGCGAATCACATGCTCCTTGTTCACATCGGCCTCGTAGTACTGGGCAACAACTGGAAAGTGGTGTGGTATGAAGTGCGTTTAGTGATGATGTATTCCATGAAACTCTACGATAAGGCCAAGCAATTCTCACGCTCGAAACACCTGTGCAAACATGACAACTTTTTCGACTTGGGTTCCTGGAAACAATTTGCGCATTTCCTGTTTGTCGGAAAACAATTAAACGGCCAATTAAGTGGAAAGTGCGAAAGAAAAACATAATCACAGCTCAGCCCAGGCTCAGTCCAAGCGCTTTATTAATTAAAGCCATTTAATTCAACCCGAATTTCAAGGTGTAGCCCGTGCTCCAGCCATATTTCATGTCGAGCAGCTACATGGCTGTGGCCATCATTATCATCGGTCTCCACTTTAAACATATTTTTGGCACTAAGCCAACATGATAAATTCACTTAGTTAATAGGAACAGAGACGAGTTTATGCTAAGCAAAGCCAAACGACAATAGAGAGCTATGGAGCAGGGGAATAGCTGAGGTTGGGTAAGGTCTCATGGCGTGAGCTAATTGCTGACTAACACGTCGAGCTACGAGACACGAGAGAAGCCCGATGACTAAGCCAGGTGGCAATCCTAGGGGTTGCTCATATATGATGGTAACATAATTAGGTAAAAGTCATTAACTTTCGGCCTATTTGGACCTGGTTTATGCAAGCGGAAGTAATGGATATTTCCACAGCGATTTAGCTGACAGTATAGACAGGGTGTGTATAAATAGGTTCGCGAAGCACTTGGGCGCCCAACACATACTCTGGCGAGTGGCTGCTATAAACTCTGGCTCCAGCTTCAAGACAGGCTATTGGTGCGACAATTACATCATCGGTTTCATCAGCACTGCCAAACAGTTTGCACAACGATTAATTGCAGTGAAATTGCATAGACGACAGGCCAGACATATGGCAAATCTCTCGCTGCACTGCCAGGTGAAGATGGTCCAACTTTACCGACAAAGTAAGACATTAACATTTGAACGCTTTAAGCTTCGCGCGAACATTGCCTATTGCTGCAATCCGGAAAAGCACAGAACTAACCTATTAAAGGGATTTGCCAACGGGCAACGAATTTCAATGAAATTAGCCAAAGAAAAAGGTTTTTCAAATTCGACTAGTCGATGTTTTGCTATAAACATATCATTTCTTGAAATAACTCATCGGAAATTTTTAAACGCTTTTCCATGTGGAGTTGATAATTACGCCTGATTTGCGAAGAAGTTGACAACCCTGAAAACAACGAAGACAGCCGAAAAAGTTCTCCAACGCCGGTTTCCCTGTTCTGAAATTTGCTGTAAGGCTGGAAAAAGTATTTGTTTGAGTGCAGTGCAAGCATTGGATGTGGTTAACATTACGTAATTGTGAATAGTTCAGTAAAACATCGGACAATTATATTTTTAAATTATAGGTATAACCTTCAGCGAGCGATTAGGAATTTAGACTCCAAATTAATTTCATATTTAACATATAAATTTTTCAATATATTAATAGACTTCTTAATTGTTTTTCTTTGGAAATTTATATTACTTCCGAATTGAATTACAAACAGCTCTGTCTTTTGAAAGCCACAAAAAGAAGCTCTTTACTAACAACCTCTGCTTAAAATGGATTTTTTTTCGATCGATTAATCGAATTAATTGATCGCTGAGAACTAAGGTAACCAACATCCACTGACGTGCTCTGCACTCTGTAGTCTCCAACGCGCTCTCTCTAGAACACCGACCACTTACCTGCTCGCACATGCACGTCCCGGGATATGATTGAGCCAAACTGGTTGCGTGCCAGACAGGCGTAGACCTGGGCATGCACTTCCTGACGATAATCCTCGGCGCGGAAGGGCGGGAAGACCAGCTTGCCGTCCGACGAGATCTGACGCAGGCCGGGCACGTCACCCACGGCGGTGCCATCACTACGGACCCAAATGATTTCGGGCATGGGATTACCACTGGATTTGCATTCGATTTCGGCGCCCGTGGAGTTTGAGAAGTCAATGCGATTGGTGGGTTCCTTGAGAAAGACGGGTCCCTTCTGGTCAGCATCCGGCGGATTGGCAGCTAAAGTGCTGCTAACAGTGGCTACGAGGGGAAAAAGCGAGAATGATCAAGAATTAGTACAAATAACAATTAAAAACTCATAAAGCAGCTTAAATATTCAGGGCAACACAGCGGAAGTTGTGTATACACATATACTCCAACATAAATATGCATAGCTCCAAGTCCGTATCTATATATATTTGTCATCATATTTGTCAGTCGACATGTCAAGTCAATTGTCAACAGCTTGGCTTTTGTTCCATAGCTGTCGTGCTTGCTGCTGCTCAACAATTGAATGCTATGGATCAGTGAATGTCGCTATTGCTGCCCAGCGGCAAGCCCGTATGTGCTGAAGTGTGACGGTGTTGCTCTGGCAACAACCACATCGAGAAAGAGTGCTCTAATCGGGGTTGCCCGACAAAGAGATACGCCGAGCCAACGTTTTAAAAAATTGGAACACTCTTCTTTGCATACTTAAGTACACAAAAGAAACACGCATGCGCAGAGCTTATGATGCTCCCATCCTATGGGAAATGCATTCCTAAGTAACTCTGGTGTTTGCAGTTCAATCTTCTTAAAATTTGAGTATTTACCAAAGCACAAGGTATTAAGTAGTAAAGGAAAATAAATGAAACCCAATTTATATTAAGAGCCTGCATCGGAAATATGCTTAATTTTTTTTGAATAATCTATATGATGGAAACATTCGGAGGAATCGACAAAAATATTCATTCTGCGTATGATACACGTCCCTAGCTTAAATAGCTGGCTAGATCAACTGTGCCCATCGTTATCAAGAATATATATGTATTCTTTATAAGTGCAGCGAAGCTTCTTTTTCTTTGTTACAAACATTTGCACAAAAACATGATCCCCTTTTAATCCATACTCAATTGGTTCAGGGTATTTTGGAAACAACAACAACAAAAGCAAAACTATAAAAACTGGTCGCTCTTTCACTTCCTCTGCGCACAAAAGGCAGCAGGGGAAAAAATCGTTCGTTGACACTTTGGAGGATGCCGCACGACAAAAGCCGCCAGAGATCAGCCCATAGACCTGGCCGAGAGGAGTGTTGAGCTGATAGAGGTGAAAAAGAACCATTCGCCCTCAGCTGGGATTGTCACTTTTGCATTGGCAAGCAATTTCATATTCAATTTTATGCACTGGCATGGTCGCGGCCCGCCCCTTCTGCCCCCGAAGCCGTCACACAGGTGTTTGTAATAACAACAAATCAGAACGTTGCAGTCGGCTGCAACTGCGACTGCTTAATACTCTTTCACAGTTCAAAGCTAAAACTTAAAGCAGGGTAACGACTTAATTTACTAAGAGATATCTATTTCTCTGATAGGCCGCACTAGTTCAAATCTATAGATATACTTCCGATTCGCCCGGCCCCCTGGAGTCATTATAGGTATGCGCAATTGTAGGATGCACATGCGAAAGAAGCCCGAACGAAAATACTCTTTTGGCTTGGGGAACTCTTTTGGCTGACAAATGACGATAGTCCACACTTCTCTTTCAAATCCATGTAATCATTAATCAGCCCTAACGATATGATACACCAGGATATAAGCTATGGACGGAATATGGATGTGTATTCTGTATTTTTACATTTTAGTTAAGTTTTTAATTTTCTCAAATTTAAACATGTTCCTATCGTTCTGCTTTACTGTAACGACTATTTCGCATGTCCTTCAACCGCGCGTTGTTGAATTTTTGGGTCATGTGGGCACTTGTATCTAATTTATCATTTCCATTCTCGCATTAATTAATGCTCAGCTCGCCTTTCAAAACAAACAGCACGAGCAGCAACAAATTAGCTGCGAAATAATTAAAAAGAGGGCGCGTGCAGTGGGCGAGAGACGCACATTACTGTTCCACTCTCCACAACACACTATAGTTACAGTGTTGAAAAACGCTTTTAAACTCACTTTCGCAATGTAAATAAATGTTTTAAAAGTTTTACGCACTTAAACCTTTTTAAGAACGGATTATAATAACTCTTTAAGGTTTAACAATACAACGAAAATGAAGATATATCAAACATATTCATTAATTTATATTTGAATATTTTCAGTTTATATGATTACAGCAAAAATTTGATATATTTTTGCCATGCTAATTTTATTTTTATTGTACAAAGAACAATAAATTAATTTGGCTAGGGAATTACGGACATTCATAGTCTTTTGCCTAAGGCACAAGTTTACCACATGCGGCGTTTTACCCTGACATTTAAAATGAAAACGAATTAATTAGCCTTACAACAACAACAGAATTACAACAAATTTGGAATGAGTGACAAATTGAGGCTTGAGTGTGTCGCCCTTATACAATATGTACATATTTTTCCAAGTGCTGAAACTTTTCATTTTCGATTGACATATTGGATATCTATTGTTGGACAGTTTTAGGCATCGCAGCTTACGGCAATTCCTTAACTTTAAAATGCAGGAAATGCGCAGACGACGCGAAGCGCATTCGAAAACAAATTCCTTTTAAATTATTAAAATGCGCAACAGCGAACATATGGTAGCCATATGAACATCGCAGGGTCTGTTGGCAAGTGGGCACGTGAGTCTTCAATAAACATATATGAGTGGTAAACATTTGCATATGATTATATATATGTATCTATATATGCCCCGCAAAATGGCAACAAAAGATAAAGACGACAATAAGGGACGGACTCTGCGAATCAAATTATATCTTCCAGCTGTTACACATATGCTTTTCACTTTTGGAATCACGGAAACGATTAGAAGCAGTTGTTTCGGCAGAGAAAGGCTACCTAAAATATATATGTATACATACATATATATCAAATCAGCACAACGTTGCCTAAACCTATTGAAAATGGCTAAGAAATTACATTTATGTCTCCCCAAAGAGCTTATATATGTTTAGAAATACTTCAAAAACTGAAGGCCTTACATTTAAAACGTAGATCGTCTATATCAAGTGTATATTGTGGATAAATGTATAGAAAAGTGTGATAGTAAAGACAGCTCTGCGCAGGGTACATTCTAGTCAGAAACTGACTTCTAGATAAATAGTTCATGCTTGTAATTGGTTTGGTAGAGTTTATATGGTATTTAAAACATTCCAGGCGATAATGCAAGATCCATTGAGCTGTAGCTGTTCAACAAGAGAAGATGGCTTCTTCTATGTTTGACTTCCTTTATAAGTAAAGGTACGAAAGAGGTGAGAGCAAAATATTTCTGCTTAATCTTTTAAAATATATTTATTTCATATTTATTTTGCTTACGAGTGCATCGTAAAGTAAGAGATACAATTTATATTATATATTTAATCTTTGCCCTTGTTGTTTTCCTTTCTTCGACACTTGCTGCTATTTATACACTTCACTTATTGAAAATGGATTTAAAAAAAGGGTATATATATATATATTTCGTAATGTACTTTATATAACAGGCGAAAGCATCTCTTACCCCTCTAGTATAGAAGATAATAATAATAATGTAAAAATAACTTTTTCCATAAAGGAATGTTTCGTTAGGCGTGTGTATAAAATAACATTTAAATGTCTGGAAGAGCATATCTTCGGTACAGGGTATTTTGTCGGACATTTACCTATTACTTGTTATAGTTGGTTTTGCTTTGCGACTTCTTCTTTCCGTTGCACTGTTTGCCTCGACCTTTTGGAATCTTCGTTTTTTTTTTTTGTTTTCTTTTTTTGCAAATCTTTTCGGCAGGTGTTTTTTTGAATGGCCGCATCAAAGTGGCTCGGTCAGTTTCTACCCTAACTTGAAGTTTTGGCAAATCGCAAGCTTAATAAACAAACCAACGAAACCGGTTCCATGCCGGCAATGTCTTTCCAGATGCTGGTGACGACAGCAGCTGCTCGAATACGATTTATCCCAGAACGAACTCGGCAACAACAACTAAACGCAAGTTTATTACGTCTCTCAATTGTGTCGCGCAATTTTCCAATTACATACATAAATACACATGAATCAACAGAGAGTACACACAAACCTAGACTAAAACATGTTCGTCTCCAAGTGCACTAAGTAACACAATTATGGCTGTGGCAAAATGATTAAAACGAATGGGGATTCCAAGTGGCATTAATGTCAGCTAAGGTCATGCTTTGCAGTTGCCGACCCGTGCCACATGCGGCAAGTACAACGTGGGAGCTGGCGCAACGAGTCTCCAGTCCAGAATCAAACAAACGGGCAGTACCATGCCAAGTGGCGCCACAGTAAACAAACAGTAGCACGAACGCCAGTCGCAAGCAAATTCTAATTTAAATAAACAAATAAGTAAGCACATGTACATAAATGTATATGTGTGAAAGGATGACGCATAGAAAAAAAATGCCGAGCCGTAGAAAAGGCTCATCAAAATAAGAGAAAGGTATTTGTGAATATTATTGTTGAGCGTTGTGATAGTGCATATTTTGCAGAGTTGCTTCATATATTAGATATCGGTAATATAATTCATTGTCGTTTGCAATTAAGGAAGAAAAGAAATACACTTAATGCATGTCACGCCTTATCATAACTATGTGTCTGTTTACACCCTTCCAATGCGTATCTCACCTAATTAACCTATTCCCAGTTACACTCAAAGTCCAAAACAACACGCAATTACGTCCACCTACGATTTCGGCCGTGAAAGGAAATAAGAAATTAATAACTTCCTGTCAAACATAAGCAAAGCGCCGAAGTTCAATAGGCACACGTATGACACTGACGCGCCCAACACAGTCCGCCCCAAACATACAATTCAGCACGCACAGGTCAGAGGTCAGCTTAGAGGCCTGCTTACCACACGTACTGACACGCAATCCATTCGATATTTCTATCAACAATGGAACAAGTCTATGAGCTATTGACCAAACCCCTCTCATTACAGGCTAAGTTTAGTATAGTCCGTAAAGTATTTTCGTAGAATCAAACGTGCCAAAGTGCTGATGCGCATTATTCAGTGGATATCATATATAAAAACAAGAAAGAACAGGTTTCAACGGCACACCGATAATTAAATAGAATTATTATTAATTATTAATTAGAAAT